TAGAGCCTGGTTCGATAGACGCCACGGCTCTTGAAACTCAAGTTTTCTGCACAGGGTGGATTGTTAGGGAACCAAAAGTACGCCCTGCGTCACCATTTAAGTTTTTTAAAAATATTAAAAAAAGTTAAAAGTTGGTGGAGTTGGTGTCACCAATCTTAGCGGCGTCTGAACTGTCGCTCAGGGTGAGAGTTCGGCTCTAAGTCGAAAAGAAATTTTTCTGGAGCAGATGTTTTGCTAAATTTAGCTTCAGAAAGGGTTTACGACTGCTTGTTCATGGCGAACTGGACTTCCACATAACTCGGGGTACGCAGTCAGGCCAACGTTGACCATACCCTGCGCGCCACACTGTGCGGTGGTCGCTTCCGTGGGCCGTGGGTTCGCAGCTGTCCACTCGTATCTTTCCTGGGGACCCGGTTCTGAACTTAATAACGACACGCGAGAAGCCGAAAGCCGTGTGGCGAGCGTGGTCGGGCTTGGTGCCCGAGGCACGGTCCGTCCAAGGTTCGAGTCTCGGTAGATGCGAACTTTTTTGAAACGTTACCAATCCTGATTCAACGTTGTTGTGTATCCGGAGTTACTTCAAAAATGGTCCTCGGATAGTATTCGAACTACAGACCACCCGAGCCCGGAGCGTGCGCTCTACCAATTGAGCCAATATGAGGCTGTTGGATAGGTTAAGCTAATCTCCGCTGTGGCTGATAGCCGAAAACACATGGCCTGCAGAGGGGCAAAAGGGTTCCGTTGACGAGATTTGAACCAGCGACTGTTTGCGTACCGGCCCATCACATAAAGAACAGAATCACACGGCTGAAAAGTCGGGGCCAACAGTTGATCTTAGGGCTGACAATATTGGTTCGGATGAAGCTGCATGCGGTCGAGTCGAAGGCGGCCGGTTGCCTCCCGCCACCTCGTCTGCTCTCCCCTCGCCCTCCGCGCCTGCACGCCACTGCGTGGGCAACCCATCGAGCTGCCGCGTATTCTCCCGGATATCTGGTATCAGCTCTGCACGTCCCTGTTTGTAGCTACACGATTGTAGCTACAGCCGGCAGTGACCGAGTCAGCTTAAACTGAACCGTCTACAGACGAATTCATTACTTCCGCCAATGCTAGAATATCAATCAGAAGTAAACAGCGCTAAAAACTAAAGCGAAAACGAAATATATCAATGCCTCTCCGAAGCTCTCACCTAGTCCAAGCACTC